GAAGTAGGAGTGGGGAAAGCAAGGAGGAGATAGGTATGATCTTGCATTTGGGAGGACAGGAGACTCGCAGAGTCCGTTGTGGGAAAATGACCGCCGAGGAAGTGTATCGATCGGCTCTGGCCACCGGTGTTCTGGTAGAAGAGAGAGATCTGCAGAAGACTGAACAGTAAGAAAATCGAAGGGTGGGAGTCGATTAGTACTGATTCACTACTTTGGCGCACATTCTTCGGAAACGCCGATTCCGCCAACCTGTTCTCCCAAAACACAAGGTCGATACCCCTGCATTCTTGGTTTTCGCGTTTTACTATTCTCCAGCTTCCTGTGCTTTGTCCTCCCGTAGCAGTATGAACACAGCCCAACATTCAAGACTTAATTCAACCCTCATGTGCCCCCCCCCCCAGAGCTCCTACTCTCAGTTTTCACTGTTCCTGACATTCTGTCTCTTGTTTTGTCTCTCTTCCTATCCCAAACTTTCTAGCTCGTTAGAGGACTCCTCTTCGTATTATAGAAAATCTTGTGTTCATTAGTCCTTATGGTGCCTCTTTCGAATTTATCAAATGTTATTTAACAGCTGATAGTGACCAAGAATTCGAATCTCTCTTGAAACAGCACGAACACCAGCTTGATGAAGAGGACAAGGAGAAGGAAGAGAAAAAAGCTAGCCGGTTTGTAGCCACTTCTTGTTTAATGCAGCTCTACCTATGGTAGTTCCCGTATTTCAGTGCTGCGCAGCGTGCGGATAGGAAGAAACAAGCTCTTGAGAAAGCACAAGCTTCCAGAAAAGCTAAGCGAGCCAGGGGCGAAGAGGAAGAGGTGGGTAGTCATAATAGTTTTGTGGCAGGGATCGTTTCTAAACGACTTCTTACTATTCAGATGGAACACCAGGATTACTGTGAGGTATGCAGACAAGGGGGCGAGATAATCCTTTGTGATACCTGTCCCCGAGCCTACCATACTGTCTGCGTGGATTCTGAAATGGAACAAGCGCCTGAAGGTGAGTGGAGTTGCCCTCACTGTGAAGAGCATGGTCCTCCGCCTCCACCGAAAGACGAAGAGCCGGTGAAAATCAATATGGAGTACTGTCGAGTCTGCAAGGTATATCACTTTCTTTTCTCTGCTTCTTTTTCCAGCCACGTTATTCACAATTTTTCCAAAATATTAGTGAAAATTCCAGGGTACGGGATCACTCCTCTGTTGTGATAATTGCCCCAGCTCATTCCACGCCTACTGTGTCAATCCACCCCTTGAAGAGGTAGCATAACTACATGTTCTCTACTTTTCATGTTTTTCAATGTTTTCGCTAGGTACCCGAAGACGAGTGGCTTTGTCCGAGATGTACTA